TTTGTGTCAATATTTGTGAGACTGCAACCATATTTCCCTGGGCCCTTCAACCAGAACCGAACCCTGGAAGCAAGCCAAAGGGAGCGTACGCTCCATTTTGTTCCAAAAGTAAGGAAGTATTTTCCAAAAAATGAAAAAAAAAAAAAAAAAGGCAAGACTATTCACATTTCAAAACAGTTCAAGTTCTACCACCATAAATGGCTTTTAGAAATACTATGAAAAAGGTCTATGAAATCCAAATGGGAAGTCATAATATCCCATCTGATTAGAGTAAATTTTGCTTTCTGTGTCCTTATCCTATTGGGATGGCTCCATATAAATACATTATTTTTTTTACTCAAAAATAACTCAGTGGAAATGTGAGAGTCCTTTAATATTCATCCTATTGGGATGAGGAAGGGATAGAAAATGAATGCAGGGTCAAAATGATGACTGCCTGCTCTGTAAGTTTTCACTTCCATGCTGCTGTGCTGCAGGGCTCAAAGTATGCATTCCAACTACACCCTTTTTATAAGATCCTATTCTGAATGCAAAGTGTTCCATTTTCATATACAGTGACCCAAAACAGAAATGTTGTAAAATATAGTTTCTCAATATATTTCAGTTTTATGTGCAAAAGAACTCTTGTACTTTTAACAGTACCCTGTGTGTGCAATTGTAGTAGCCAGTCCTGCAGCAAAAAAGACTTACTACTTGTAACATGACAAAATGTAAAACACATGCTAATTGTTCTTTGTTAAAGAACTGACAATAAAAATGGCTCCATATAAAATACTTTTTTTTTTTTTTACTCAAAAATAACTCAGTGGAAATGTGTGAATCCTCTAATACTTGTCGTGTGGCTATAACTATACATTTGCATGTTGATGCCATCGCAATCATCCTTCAATTTTAACTACATGTAACCAAAAGATTACTGTCCTACAAAAATAGTCAAATATTAGAGAACAATACAGAACAAAAGTATTATAAAGGTTTAGAATTCACAGGGACAATATTTTAAATCAGTTAAGCTTCAGCTCAAAGTGCCTTAACATTTAGGCACATACGGTATATTGTTATCTGGTGTTTTTATAGACTAACAAACAAGAATCTTTCTGTCTTACCAGTTAAAACAGCTCGTGTAATTTGGTTTCCTGAAAGCATTTAAACGTTCCCAAGAACAAGAAAGCCAATCCTCTCGCCCTCCCGGCACAACATGGCCACCTTGATTTATCAGCAGCCTGAGGGCAGATGCAGGCAGGGTGTATAGACATTGCAAAGATGCAGCACTCTCAGTTTACACTAACACCTTCTCACTAACACAATTGGGGATTTTGAACCAACAAGTAATTGCTCCGGGAATCCCTAATGCAATGCTGTACGCTACCATTGCTCTTCTACAATTACAAGTTCAGAACTTTGCAGAAAGTTCTGCTCCATCAGTTCTCTCCCTATACATTTATAAGGCCATTAAATAGATTGAACTAATCAAACACTCGGGCATTTCACAGCTAAGTGAAACTGCTGTAAACCAGTGGCACACAATCTCTAATGTCAAGTTTAACAAAGCTAAAAAGAAATTTCAAGCCCCACCTTTGGATTTCATGTTCATGGGAATATTGGTATGCATTCTGTGTCTACAACAATTTGCAAAGTTACATATAAAAAATATACATATGGTACCACAGTCTAAATCTCCATAGTTTGCATATTTCTTAGTATGTTCCTGAAAAGAGAAAACGCAACTGGAGCTTGCTATCTGTTATGAACTTGTACGGATATTGTATGCAGAGAAAATTTATCAAAGCTGTCCAATTCTTGCCAGAAATTAGCTTCTTAAGGTAAGTAACAGTTTATTTACTGTTATCTTGGTAAATACCGATAGTAAGTATTTATGAATATCGAATGCAAGCCATCAACAGCTCACTTTTGCCAAGACAGTTTCTCAATATGTACTATCTTGTCACTCACAAAAAAGTTCCTTTTTCCATAACCTCTCTTAACAAGCATTCCTGATTGCTAAATGCTAAACCCTGTCTTAATGTAGTGTTTTCCCTCTTTATGGGTCTATTCCTGCTCCCACACAAGTCAATGGAAACTCTTCATTCTTTACAGTGGAACAGGACTAGGCAATAATGTGCCTTAAAAGTGTTATATCACATTCAGATCCTCTCTTCGTATGCAGAATAACACATAAATAATGTGGGTTAATTCCCATTTTTTCTGAAAAGTATTTTTATCTTAATTTTTGAAATTATTATATAGTAATACTGATGATTTGAGTCTTAGGTTTGGCAATTGCTGCTTGACAGCTGAAATGTTTTAACATCCTCACCAAGTTTTTAACGTGGATAAAAGCATATCGCCCATGAACATTTCTACATAGTATGAACTACATAAAAAGCTATTTTCCATATACTGTCAAAGTGGTTATGTAGTGTTGCCTATACAACTGTAGTAAGCTTCTTGCCTTCCATCCTATACAACGTAACATCTCAGGATGAAAGACTGTATTTAAATTGAACGTCATAACGGTATGTTCAGCCACATAGCTGCACTTTACAGCACTGATCTCTTGGTATGCTACCATACTATACAGTAGAAAAAAAACCAGTGGATACTGAATGATAATTTTGAACTGGCAAGCAATTCTGACTGCCATGTTAAAACAGGCAGAATGATGTAGAGTTCCAGTGATAAACCCACAATGGATTTTTCTGGTATTACTGCCTGGGAATCTGAGAAGTTCACAGAAACAGAGGCCACCGTACAGCCAGGGTAAAGGAAAGGCCCACATGAAATAAAAGCAAAAAGGAAGTAAGGAAGCAAACAGATGGAGCGCACAACAGGAGAGCAGCTAGTGAAGAACAGCAAGCAGAAGTTCCATATTATTGAAATAACAAGTATTTCAGGGAGAGGCTGGTCAGTAAAGAAGTTCAGTCAGGGGCTTTTTTCTTCTACCTTGTACCCAGGAACTGATTTGGATAATACAGAACGTTTGGAACCATCTTTTCTTGGAGTAGCACTTTTGTCTCTTGTTTTTTGTCTTCCCTGAAAAGAATCCTCCTGGTTGTCTGTGGCGCAATCACCTTCAGATACATTGCCAGACGAATTGTCCTATAATAAAAATACCATAGCTATATTTTTTATTTTTCGGATAGACAGACAAGTCTTTCCTATGCCTCCTAGAGCCAACTGAGAGGAGGATGCAGACAAGTCTTTCCTATGCCTCCTAGAGCCTATGCCTCCTATGCCTCCTCCTAGAGGAGGATACATCTCTCCTTCTACAAAAGCATGGGGTACATCACAATCTAGAACATCTTTGCTCATAATCTTTATTAGCTATTATTTCTCAAGCTAAGAGACTGGCATCAGCAATAGCAGTCATGTTTTCCAGTTGGTCTTGATACCAGAGTGGGGAGCACAACAGTGTAATTCTTTGAACCGTTTTCTTTAAAAGTCAGCAAGAAATCCACTATATGCAAGATGTTGTTTACAAAGTAAAGGGCCAGCAAAAAGTTAAAAGTGCCCTTGCCATGCATTTAAAGTGTATTGCCAAATAGCACTGCCTTGAATTAAACATATGAAAGTTTTTTATGCCACCTTCATCTACTATTTTCACCAGGAGCAACCTAAATATTTCATTTGGATTGCAGCAGAATGCCATCAAAGGCAAAATACACTTCAGTATTTAATATAGAACCAAACAACAGAATTTATGCTGCAATTAAAGCATTTTCTTTTGAGGAATGGGGAGGCAAGAAAGAGGGGAAGAGGTTCAAAGAGGGTGAGAGATCAATGTAAGCATAATTAAGAGCAGCAGCACAAGAATCTTCTTAGAAAAGTGTTAATAGAGGCCTCCAAAAAGCTCCAGAAGAAAGCAATATGATTAATCACATGTATTATAATAAAACCCAAAAGGCCAAATAACAATGGTGCCCTACAGTAAAAGGCACTCTGTAGAAACCTAATAGTAATCAGCCTATGCCCCACAGCCTAAAATCATAACAGACAAAACAGACACAGGGCAAAGGGAGGAGTGTAACACAAAAGCAAAACAAAATATACGGGAACAAAATATATGGAAGAAATGGTATGTTTCACCATTATTTTAGGAGAAGGGTTATTCAGGACAGTCCATTAAAACACTATAGAAGAGAAAAATTGCTACCTGACTCCAACAATGGGGAGGGTGAAAAAGGAAAAAGCGGGAAGCATATTGTAGGACTCACCAGGGAGATCTGATGAATGGTAAGTAGCCCAAAACTCAGGAAAAGAGGCCTGACAACTGCCCATTTCTGTGTTCAACAGATATTTTTCCCTGAACAATATGCCCCAGGGACTAGCAAAAAAACTCTGCTCCCATAGCCAAACCCACTTCACAGGAGTCTCATTTCAAATTTTCCCTACACTTTTCCAACACAAGGACATTTTCCCTTCTGCATTCTGCCACAAAAAAAGAGACTTCTGAACTTCTGTGAAAAATTAAAGGATAGTCTGCTCGGTTCACTTTACCATCAAGGGGAATGGAAATCATCAGAAAAGGGAACTGGGAAGAAACTGTTAAAGATCAACTGTAAAAAAGCTGGAATATGATTAAACCAAAATTCTGAATTGACATTTAGCCTGCCGAATTTATATGGTTTCTTTTTCTCCAAAAAAGCACACGCAGAAAGGGAGTATTAACAGCTATGTCTCTCTCCCTTGTTAGCATACAAGCTGATCCCTTCCTTTCTTCCTCAGTTATTTTATGAATATTCAAACAAAATAAATGTTTATACGGCAAAATTTAGCATTACATATACCCACCATCTAACACATTTGTCAATTGAACTAGAAACTGTTAAATGCACCTGTGATTTTACATTCTATTTCTCTAAAAATTAGGGTTAAACTTCTGGAAAGTGGTTGTCACCAACATACTAACTACACCAATATAGCAATGGTTCATTTGTGCTCAGCTCATCTGAAGCTCAGCTGCTCTTAAGCACTTAAACATTATCCAGGTAGGTATGTGATAGTTTCCCTTAACTTTCAATAACAGTTAATTTTGCATTTGCGTAAATAGAGATAACATAAACATCTTTTTAAAGATGTACTGCAATGCAAAAAACCCAGTGCTTTTTACCTCCTCTTTAAATTGGAGTAAAGTAACTGTTTCTGTATTGAGTACTCCCTGCTTTTACACCACAAAAAGTTATCATCAGGCTGTCAATATCTTTGCTTAAGTGACAGATTCTGCAACACTTAAATAGCCAAATAAGCTGAGACCTGAACTAGCGTTCACTCCCCTCAGAAACGGCAGCAACTTCCCCTTTGGTAAAACAGCACAATGAAGATTTCTTTTTACAAAAGGAAGAAAGGGCCTGAAATGTCAAGCATTTGTTTGATTTACTCTAAAAATTGATCAAACAGAAAGTGAAGAGCAATGTTAAAAAATAAAGAAGAGTACTAAAAAAGGAAGTACTCTTTTAATTTAAGATTCTCCTTCATTTTGCAAATGTTAGAGATTCTACTAAGAAACTACTGAAACTAACAAAAGTGAAGGTAAAGGACTTCTTTGTTAAAGAATATTTTCAATTTGTCTCACCGAATTGCCTTTGGTTTTCCGTTTTTCATCACCTCGCCCTTCCTCTGCATCATCTGAGTCTCCATCACTGTCTAACGCAGGCAGCTCCGGATCCAAAGGAGGTTCGTAAAGAGCCGTGTTTAATGGCAAGTAACGCAGTTCATCTGGAGAGTATCTAAAATAAATAAATAAATAAAATTACATTAATCAATGTGTACTTTAGGCACAAATATTAAGTCACACAGCATACAAGGACTTCTGTGAGAAAGAGTAAGAAAACCTCCCTTTATTCAGGAAGGCACATAAAAACATTCAGTTCTGACAACATAGAAAAGGTATTAATTTCTCCTTCCAAATGTAATACCATCTAGTACTTGTCTTCTCTGTATAGCAGATACTCGTGGAACATAGTAAGAGTCTATCTGCAATGTTCCAAACCTACATAATCGTAAGAGGCCATGGAACCCCTAAAAAGCTTTAACCATTCCACATTATTATGCACATCAACTATATACTTTATTTTTATATGCCCCGTCCATAACAATTCTAACCCAGGGCACACAAACAGCAAAGGTCCAAAGCAAAGTAAAGAATATAGCTATATGCCTGAGTTCCCTGATTATTGAAGGAGAACAAAAAATGCTTATAAAAATATAATTTCAGAAAAATGTGAAGATCTAATCACATTGTTTATAACCACTTAATACAGCTTAATATGTGTAATCCACCCTTTTTTGTTTTTTTTTTTTTTTTTAACCTTAAATACTAAGAAAAAAGTGAAAGTCCTTTGGTATTAAGGACAAGCATTGTAAGGAGCAAGATATTATTCTGATGCATATTTTGAAAGGTTGTGTCCTTCATTAAGAAGGATAAGTAGTTCCACTTGCAGCCTCTAAGTGCAAAATAAGCAAGATATCTAGTATTTTTAATTCAATTAAATTAATAAAACAGAAATCTTTCAAGAATATCCTGTAGCATACAAATTTAGGGTGAGCTGTAAGCACACACACTGCAATGAGCAAGGCATATGCAAATAAAGCACTTCTCTAAAGAAAATGGTGCCATGTATAGGATGAGTACCATCTCTGTTGTACGGATGGTAAGACTTAGGCAATAATTTTCAAATCAGTTGTATTTGTCAAATGGGAACATGCCACCAGGTAATTTTTTTTTTTTGCTAAATTAAAAACTTTCTAAAAATTTTAAAAAAGGACAGTAAGGCTGTCACACGGAAAACGTGATCACGAGTCAGCATTTCAACATAGCAACATTAACCTTAGCCCACATGCAGAGGCAGATGATAAATGAACATGAGATGGGCAGGAATGAAATCAAGGTCTCCTTTTACCACAGTAAATATCTGAGCAGGCCAAATCTCAGGCACTGCAACAGACCAGCAGAGACAGTACTCTTGCAGTCAGTGACGTTTTGTTGACAAAAGCTGTCACGCTATGCATCTATTAGACTAGCAAGTGTCTCAAACATAAAATGAATTCAAAACTTTACAGTAAATACACTGAAATGTTCTCTGTCTGCTAGATGTAGAGAAAGTAGATCAGTGCAACAGAGTTGGCAGTTAGGATGCTTTTAAAATACCTTTTGTAGTACTCCTGGAACTGGCCGGGTATGAGAGCCACTGGATAAGGACTAACCTTTGTTCTCTCTGTAGGTAAGATTTTGTATTTTCCTTGAGGCACCTGGATAATCTGTATTGTTTAATACAAAACAACGTTTTTGTTTCACATACAAACTTCTGAGCCTTCCTCACCATCTACACCCCCCAAATATTAACTAGCCAGTTTTATCGAGTTGGAACAGCTACCTGAGTTCTCCCATGGGAAATCCAATTCATTAAAATGGTAAGAGATCCCTCTCACAAAACCGTGTTATGGATTAAGTCCAATAAATGTTCTCTGTCTGCTAGATGTAGAGAAAGTAGATCAGTGCAACAGAGTTGGCAGTTAGGATGCTTTTAAAATACCTTTTGTAGTACTCCTGGAACTGGCCGGGTATGAGAGCCACTGGATAAGGACTAACCTTTGTTCTCTCTGTAGGTAAGATTTTGTATTTTCCTTGAGGCACCTGGATAATCTGTATTGTTTAATACAAAACAACGTTTTTGTTTCACATACAAACTTCTGAGCCTTCCTCACCATCTACACCCCCCAAATATTAACTAGCCAGTTTTATCGAGTTGGAACAGCTACCTGAGTTCTCCCATGGGAAATCCAATTCATTAAAATGGTAAGAGATCCCTCTCACAAAACCGTGTTATGGATTAAGTCCAATCACTAAGTATCTAGTGAACAGAATGAATACTAGGTAAGACTGCATCTAACAGTGTATTATGTAAAATAATTTACAAATTAAAATCTAACAATGGAAGCAGTAGACATTAACTTTGTAACTGGCATCTTTAGCTTGAATTATAATTTTTGGTCTATATTGGTAGAGGGTAGCAAGAACATGTGTCCATCAAATTCTGAAACCAGGCTGTACTATAAAAAAATCCTATATTGGTAGAGGGTAGCAAGAACATGTGTCCATCAAATTCTGAAACCAGGCTATAAAAAAATCCACTATAAAAAAATCTTCTGCTAGATGTAGAGAAAATAGATCAGTGCAACAGAGATGCTTTTAAAATACCTTTTGTAGTACTCCTGGAACTGGCCGGGTATGAGAGCCACTGGATAAGGACTAACCTTTGTTCTCTCTGTAGGTAAGATTTTGTATTTTCCTTGAGGCACCTGGATAATCTGTATTGTTTAATACAAAACAACGTTTTTGTTTCACATACAAACTTCTGAGCCTTCCTCACCATCTACACCCCCCAAATATTAACTAGCCAGTTTTATCGAGTTGGAACAGCTACCTGAGTTCTCCCATGGGAAATCCAATTCATTAAAATGGTAAGAGATCCCTCTCACAAAACCGTGTTATGGATTAAGTCCAATCACTAAGTATCTAGTGAACAGAATGAATACTAGGTAAGACTGCATCTAACAGTGTATTATGTAAAATAATTTACAAATTAAAATCTAACAATGGAAGCAGTAGACATTAACTTTGTAACTGGCATCTTTAGCTTGAATTATAATTTTTGGTCTATATTGGTAGAGGGTAGCAAGAACATGTGTCCATCAAATTCTGAAACCAGGCTGTACTATAAAAAAATCCATTAATAATACAAATATATGGAAAGGAACTTACACAGAAGCCTTCTTTCCCTTAGATAGAAATAAAAACTAATTTTCTACTATCTTGTTTCTAACATGGGTCAATACCAGAAAAATTAAAATTTTCCATAACGGACTGCCATGTAATAATTTGCATAGAGAAAATTTTTGCTTTGCTGTCTTTAAGCAAGCAGAACAGTCCTGCTTCAAAATGCCAGCCAAATTAATTTCTTTTAAATCAGGCACAGAAGCATGAAATATATATCTAATACAAAAATAATATAACACCTAACAAAAACAAGGGCATAACACTGACAGGCAGAACTCTTTTAGCAGAAAAATAATTTACCTTTTTACCCTAGATACCTTTCAGGCAAAATTTTGGAGGTGTTCCAAAAAAGAATTAGCCATTTATATGACTGGATACAACAGCAACAGAGGCTTCTTACTATCCTAAACTTTTCTCTTAGTTTTATGCTATTACCAGCAGATCAAACACATGACATTTAAAGCTTCCCGAGACAAGTATTCTCAATCTAAAAAAACCTAATTTTGCATTCAATATATTTGAGATTATTATTTTTAGCAGTATTAAAAGAATTAGCCATTTATATGACTGGATACAATAGCAACAGAGGCTTCTTAGTAACCTAGACTTTTCTCTTAGTTTTATGCTACTACCAGCAGATCAAAGGCATGACAAAAAAGCAACACAAACGTTTTTAAAGCTTCCTGAGACAAGTATTCTCAATCTAAAAAAAACTAATTTTGCATTCAATATATTTGAGATGATTATTTTTAGCAGTATTTCCCATTTAACAGCAAAACTGTCTAAGTCCCTACATGACTGAAACAAGACTAATCAAACCTCTTGATAATATAGTTAAAACGGTACCAAAACCAACTTTGCTAAAACAAGCAAGGAGTTACCTATTGATATTGATAAGAAATTTAAATCTGCCTACATGCGTCTGTAAATCAAAATAGGCTCTTCTTTCTTCCATCCGCTCTCGGTTTAAATTGCTGTTGAATTCTGCAGCTTTCCTGGCAGCTTTTTTAATATATTCGGGAACTTTACTGGCTTCTACTTTCTGTGTGTTCTGCTGCTGCATTTGCTGGAATAAAAACAGTTTTATTAATTCATATACATTTCACTATCAGTTTGAGAACAGCCTTTTCTTATACTTCCCACGTTACAGATCTGGTTCACTTGTACACTACTTACAGAGTACTCTTTATAATGATCTGTTATTCGCTGACGTTCTTTCTCTTGCAGTATAACAGAATACTCAGCATGTTTGGCAGGGTATTCTTTAATCATAAGATCAATTACTTCATCACTACGCAAAGCTGTTAGACCTAAAATAGATAAAAGCAATAATGATGCTATCTGGCAAAACTAACTGTAGGTTATTTATATCCCACAACGATCAAGTTTTTGAGCAGCTAAAGACAACAACCCACTGTGCACGATGCTTCTCTCTCAAGCAAGAGTGAGCCTGTGCTGTTCAGCTTTCAAGGCTGATTAGGAGTTTGCTTCTATCCAAGGAAACAAGGCTCATTTTTTTCTCTTGCTTACAGCTACAGATCCCTTGACATTGACTCAGCCACCTACTAACCAACTAAATTCCCCTGTGAGGCAGAACCTTTTTTCTAAGTGGGACCTGGCAAACTGTTAGTTTCAGTTTCCAATATTGGTGAAGTGTTAATTTCATTAACTTGCAGAACTTTAAATGAAATTATGAGTTTTACGTAACTTCTCTATACAAATCAAGGAAGAATCACTGCGAGGGCAATTCAGAAGAGCAAACTGCACACAGACTGCTGACTCCCAATTAAAGCATTTGAAGTTCAGAAGCCAGAATGCCTCAGTTTGCAGCTACAATGCAGAACTCCTCCTCTGAAGGTTTCAACACAACTAATTCCCAAACACTGACAATAGAATGGAGGTTGACCTATGTTACTACAACTGATTATAAGTATAAACTTAAAAAGAAGGGACAGTTAACTCAGCATACACCACTACTGGATATGAGGCAGAATATAGTGTTTTGCTGTTATTGATAAAAATTAGATACTGTTCTCTCCCACATATTTAAGTTCAAAAATAAAAAGTAAAAAACCAAGAGAGCTGGCAGATAAGAAAGAAGGTGGTATACCAAAGACTGTTAGTATATAAAATGACGTTACATTTGCACAAGCCCACAATAAACAGGAAAAAAAATAAAATGGCAGGCATCATTTAATCTCTAACATGCTTCAAGTCACATGTATTAGCAGAGGAAGAAAAAAATACTTCAAACTCTTTCAGTATAACCCACATCAATGACACCATTCCATTTCAAGTATATTAAAGTTCTTAATGCACACACTTCTAAGCCCATATATGCTAACCCATGTAAGATATACTAATGTTTGCCGAGTTCCAACTAACTCAGCAAAACAAGACTGATGTATTTTTTAGTTTGAAAAATTAGGGTGTTCTCTTTTGCAGAAGGAGAAAGAGGTTTAAAAAGTTAATTTACAACATAAAAGGGATTTTGCTGAGTAATTAGAATAGATCCAAAATTGATTTTTTTGTAATAAATCTGGAATACCGATACCTCATGGCCAATTTACACAAATTAATAATAAACCAGTTCACATATCAGAATTTATATTTTCAGTTGACAGTGATGCAATTCTTCTCTAGCAGACTGAATCACATTTTCAGTGTGTCATATTTTTAACACTGTAACAAGGAATCTAACAATTTGTTTTCTTACCTAGCGTGCACTGAGTTTCTGTGATAACATTTAGTTCTCTGAGGTAGAGTTTCTCCTTGTGAGATAGATCTCGTCTTTCTAGATCTCCAAAGAAAACAAAAAACAGCAATAAAAATGCGTGCAGTTACTCAAACTCCCCCACAAACAGTATCAAAGTATTGTGACAATTTTCTTTCCAGGCAGTGAGTCTGTATTACACTGCTATTCCTACAAACCTGGTAACTGTATAAATTGATTTCAAATTTAATATACACTGTAGGAACATCGTCAATTTTTCTGAGTAACTTGCCTGTAGTTATGATTTACAGAAATACTGAAAAAAACAGACGTGTTTGGATGCAGAAAACACTATCAAGCACTGAAGGTACATCCTTTTTTTTTTTTTCTTTTAATATGCCTTTTAAAAATAAATTCCATGACAGAAGAACCAGATTTGACAATTCTGAATAATAAAGGCTCAAATCCTAGAACCTCCCCAATTAATTTTTTTAAATTCTTCCACAGTGTAGAAATGTTGCCACAATTCAGGAAACGGGATATAGAGATACAGCTATATAGTAAGAAATCACTGACAAAATACTTACAAATAAAACTGAGGTCAGTTTTCAAAAGGTACTTGCTAATCTAATCTTCAAATCAGACTTGTTTACAGATTTTTCAGTAAGTCTTAAATTACTTTGAAAATGATAGGATACATTCTCAATATGTCAGTAACAGAAATAAAAAGTACAACATACATAATTCAGGTCTGCTTTTGCTAAGATCTTTTCTTAATCAGTTGGCTCATGCTATAGTCAGAGACTCGGATTACATCCAAACTGTAGGAAGACAAAGATTTTTAGAAGAAAAACTTTAAAAATAAATACCTGGATATTTTCTTTTAAAGGAGGTCACACCCAAATATTCACTGACTTGCTCCTGAAGCATATAGTATTCTCCTGTTTCATCTGGTGGCCACTTGTATTCTATCAAGTTTTCAGCAGGAAAATAGCTGTATCTAAGTATAAGAATAATGTTAGAACAAATCAAAAACTCCTTAAGAAGGATACTTGCATTTCCAGAAATTCAATAATTCCTATTTATATGTCAATGAACAACATTATGAAGTTGGACAACTACTTTAGAACACTGCATCCTGTTAACCCATTTCAAATTTACTTTGTTACACCCCACTTCACATAAATTTCTCCAAACCAGCATTCATCAACATGCTGAGTGACAGAACACAAAGGGATATTCATGATAGCAGACAGGACACCAGGCAAAGCAGGTACTACAGTGTTAACATCCATTCAAAAAATAGGATCTGTTTTTAAAACATGTAAGCTATGCTTATGATTATAAATTAAATACAGCATGTCATTTTAAAATAAAATGTCTTAAAATATGCTGGGAGAAAAAGACAGCTAGCTACTCATAGGACATTGCCTCAATTCGGAAACGTATATGAAAAATACACAAGCAGAGAAAGAAGGGTTAATACTTCAGCACATTGAACAATATTATAAGACTAACAATGGAAAGCTGGTATTACCCAAGGTCTTGACTAGAAGTTTCACAGCTCCGAGAACTGTCCCCTGAGCCCATACGGCGTCTTTTGGATGGCTGGCTGCCATCATTGGAATTTTCTTCTGTGTCATCCTGAAATGAAAATGAAGATAAATATGAAAAAAAATTACAGACTATTCAGCAGATAATGTAAAATGTCAAAAAATATTGCAAGGCAATCCATAGTTTAAATATACTGGAACTACGGAGCAACTTAATAACACTCTTTATAAACAACTCATAGGACAGTTTACGTAGCAAATTATTATTTGCTATAAAGTAGGTGCACGACACATAGCGGCACAGAACTGGATAGTTTCTCACCTGTTGCGTGTAGGTGAAGCACTGAATAGCAGAGCTGCGGCTCTGACCACAAGTTCATCGTTCTTGATGTAAACTACCTATGGCATCAGCACAGTCAGACAGCTGTAGACACAGCAAACCACCCTCACTGGTGACAGTCAGGGACAAGACTAATTCCTGAATCAGGCTAGCTCTCAAAAGCAACAGCAAGGGCAGAGCAAAAACATCAGGCCCTTGCTGAGAGCTGATGCTTATAAAATCAAGGGATATATTTCCAAAAGTTACACAGAAGTTTACAGACAGGACATACAGTTAAAATAAAAGGAATGGTATACACTTCATAAAAAGATATGATTACAGCAAGTAGCAAAAGCTTGTCTTTTGTGGGGGAAAAAAAAAAAAAGAAAAAACCTGAAGTTGTATCGCAATAGATTCACAGCACAGAACAAAGCTATTATAATGGAACATTCTGAAGTTAACTTAGAGATGTCACTATTCAGATTTAATGAGTTCTATATGAAGAAAGGGAATAAAGGGTGAAGAGGAGAAAAACAAAACAAACCAAAACCACAACAAAACGAAGAGTTCCATAAAGTCTAGCAGACCAATGATTCAACTGGTCTTCTTGCATTTTTCACTGCTTTATTTGTTGTCCAATAGGCTATACAACTCCTACCTACATCATGAACAACTCCAGAAGCATTTCATGATCACCCTTGCATGTTTATAAATGAGAAACAGAAGGCAGAGGTGTTCAGGTAAACTGACTATTGTCAACACTAGTAGAACCAAGAACAAAATAGCTCTTTAAGTATTTGAAACTGTAGAGTAGTATGAAAGAATCGTGTTTCATAACTTTTATGAAAAGTTTAAGAAAGAAGAATTAACCTGTCATAAATAATTGCATCAGGCCCAATTATCTTTACTTATTAAATAATGACAGGTACAATTACTAGGCATACTTTAGCAAATGTCTTTCGTTCTAGTATGTTTTATGTATCATGTTAGTTGACATACCATTAAAAAAAGATTCCAGCAAATGAAAATACATTACTTTTGTTATGTAACAATTCATAGTACTATAATCAAGACAGGCCACAGGAAAATACATTTGTTTCCTGCATTTTTGGTTTATTTTATATTTTTCACAATTCTTTACAATTTTTTTTCTTTCTTGTGGAGTAGCAAGAATATCTTTCATACCATAACAAAAACTGAAAAGCAAATTTAATGAAACTGTGCTTTTTTAACACAGCTATACTTCAAGAATTGGGCAAGCAGCACCTCCACTAGTATTACTAGTAATACTATTTCCTAGTATTGCTGACAATACCCTATACAAACTTGGTTAGACAAACCAAGTAGCAGTCCTCAACCAAAACAGTATCAGGTGAGAACATTTTGTGACACAGCTATGTCTCATCAGTAGTTCATTCCTACTTCCCACATGGAACATTAATGCACTTCAAACCTCGACAAAAACATGAACAGGGCCAAAGACATGCTTCGCTATATCACAGCTATGAAGAGACTTCAAAACAGTTTTAAAAAATAGATCTCAACCTGACAGTTAGGAGAAGGTGCCACAAAGTCAGTTTGTTGCAGAGGACTTGGCAGAAAAAGTGAAAACCTTTGCGCTGCCATCTAAGACACGCTGTAGTTCACCCACTGCTACTGCAGTGAAAATAATAATTAGAGCCAATCTTGTGGCCTTCTTTACATGGAAAGTCAAACCTTGCCAAAAAAAAAGCCCCTCCTTCCCTTGAAAAAGTCTGTTGATGTAAAAAGCCGGTTAGTCCTCTCAAAATACGGCTACATTACAAATTCCTGGTATGTCTACCAACTGTAAAACCTACGCAGCCATCCTTTATTATGTAAGCCCGAATTACCGAGACGCCTTTCAAAAACTAACTGCCAACACGCACCCGAGCGAGGAGGCGGCGGTGCCACAGGCGGTGCCACAGGCGGCGCGGGTGCGACTCGGCAGGGCCCAGGCAGAAGACCCCGCGACTTCGACCCAAACTTTGCCGGGCCCCACGGAACCAGCCTCCGCCCCGCTCCCGCCCAGGCGCCGAAGGACTTTTAGGAAGGCGAACGCTCCCCGGGCACCCAGCCGGGCCTCCACCCCGCCCCTAGCCCCCGGACCTCCACCCGAAGTTCGGCGCGGGGCGTGGGAGGCCGCTCGCCACCGCCCGGCTCCCCGGGGAGGCGTGAGGCGAGCCCGGGATAGGGGCAGGAGGGGGGCAAGGCCCCCCGCCGAGGCGGCTTGTTGCGCCGCCCGCCCCAGGCCGCCGCGCTGAGCCCCGCGGCCGCCGCCTTGCTCTCACCTTCAAGGACTGGGCGCCGGGCGTAGCCGGGTCGCTGTCGCAGAGGCGCGGGGACAGGACGGCCGCCATGACCGCCGCG